GAGATCACGGGGCTCTCGCGCGCGCCTTTTCCTTGTTGTTGTTGTTGTTGTTGGTGTTGTTGTTGTTGTTGTTGTTGTTGTTGTTGTGCTTCTGCTTCTTTGTTCATATTCTTACCCGTCAGGGCTTCGCCCCCTGCCGCCGGCCCCCTCTCTCGGAGGATGGGCCATGGAAGAGCTAAGTCATGAGGTCTTGGCGCTGTCGTGAAGCAGTATCGAAACTTCATGCGAAGCCGATTCGCAATCAGCAAAACCAACTCATCACAAGAGGGGTTACCACACCTGGCGATTGGTAAGACGTGTATGGTTTACGGGCTTGGTTACCACACCTTGCGATTAAAGGGCCGAGGGAGTTCTCGCAGTTTGGGTTACCACGCCTTGCGATGGATGTGCGTGAAAGGTGGCACCGAATTTCAGAAATGTGGCAAATCCCCTGTGTTTTTGGACCCTGACCCCGCGGATCTGCGTAAGGGGTGGCGCCGAATTTTAGAAATGTAGCAAATCCCCTGTGTTTTTGGACCCTGACCCCGCGGATCTGCGTGAGGGGTGGCACCGAATTTCAGAAATGTGGCAAATCCCATGTGTTTTTGGACCCTGACCCCGCGGATCTGCGTGAGGGGTGGCACCGAATTTCAGAAATGTGGCAAATCCCTTGTGTTTTTGGACCCTGACCGCGGATCTGCGTGAGGGGTGGCACCGAATTTCAGAAATGTGGCAAATCCCATGTGTTTTTGGACCCTGACTCCGCGGATCTGCGTAAGGGGTGGCGCCGAATTTCAGAAATGTGGCAAATCCCTTGTGTTTTTCCCTACATCCAAAGTGGGGTTTTTGTTTTCTTTGCACACCCCGCGCAGGAACACTCACCCCACCACCTCTCCTCTTCTGCCTTCGCACACTCACTCACTCACTCACTCATCATCATCACCACTCACACACTCACATTCACTCACACTCTCTCATCATCAACATCAGCATCATCACTCGCGCTCTCTCACACGCTCAGTCACTCACATACTCATCATCATCATCATCATCATCATCATCATCACCATCATCATCATCATCATCATCATCATCATCATCATCATCATCACTCGCACTCTGTCACACGCTCACTCATTCACATACTCACCTGGAGGAAGTCTCAGGCGGGAGTTCGTCTGTGAGTGAATTGTGAGGAAGTCTCAGGCGGGAGCCCCCTCCCTATGGGGCCCGCAGATCACGTTGGTAATCCGAGCGGGTCATCCAAACCCTGTAACTGTCGTCACTTTTTGGGCTCCTGAAGCTTGAGTACGGAGGAAGTCTCAGGCGGGAGCGTCGTCTGTGAGTGAATTGCGAGGAAGTCACAGGCGGGGGAACCCTTCCCTATGGGGCCCGCGCTTCATGTTGGTAATCCGAGCGGGTCATCCAAACCTTGTAACTGTCGTCTTTTTTGGTCTCTTCAGGCCTGAATTTGGAGGAAGTCTCAGGCGGGAGCCTCGTCTGTGAGTGAATTGCGAGGAAGTCTCAGGCGGGAACTCCCTCCCTATGGGGCCCGCAGATCATGTTGGTAATCCGAGCGGGTCATCCAAACCGTGTAACTGTCGTCATTTTGGGGCTCTCGCGCTGCCAGAACGCCACTCCCGGGCCACATTGTGCATGCCCGGAGCCAATTGTAGGCCACTTCGTGATCTTCGTGTTCCCAGAACATCATTCCCGGGCCACATTCTGAAACCCCGGAGCCAACTGTAGGAGGACGACGTGCACAAGAAACCCTGGAGCGAGAGAAAGGTAACGCACTTGCTCCTGCTGGGCCAGGGCGGCTCGGGGAAGACGCACGTGGTGCAGAAAATCGTCTTCCCAGTGGTGGAGTATCTGTGGCCCTCGCCGGCGCCGGACAGGGCCAGCATGATAGTCGTTGCCTTCTCGAACGCGCAGGCGAAGAACATCTCCACGGAGACTGTCAAAGCCAGAACGCTGCACAATGCCTGCGCCATGCGAGTCCAGAAGTACATCAACGCGAAGCTGCGGCCCGGGGGCATGCAGAAGAGGCTGAAGTGGTTGTGGGAGCACGTCCGCGTTCTTGCCATCGAAGAGATAAGCATGGTGGCAGCCGCGCAGTACAGCGCGCTGGACCTTCGCGCCTGCCACGGACGCAGTGACACGCACGACGTGCAGGAGTCCAACTACCAGCGGCCACGCCACCACTTCGGGCGCGTGCCTATCGCGTTGCACCTCGGAGATTTCCTGCAGCTGAAGCCCACCGGCAGCATTGGCTTCCTGACGGACGTGAACGAGCGCCTGGACGACGACGAGTCGTACAGGTACGCGGATCCGCCGACGGTGGAGATCCAGCACGCCATCAAGGGCTTCTCTCAGATCCCCTGCGTCTTCGAGCTGAAGGGCACGAGGCGCTTCGAGCTTGGGGACCCGCTGATCACGTTCCTGGGCTGCATGCGCGAGGGCAAGCCCTCCCCACCGGAGGTCTGGTCCGCCTGGGAGAAGACGTTGGCCACGGACAACCGCGGCGTCCTGGACCCTCGGCACCAGCGCGAGAACTTTCGGCTCGGCTACGGCATGGGCATCTCCTGGGAAACGCTTGCGAGGTGGATGAACACGCGTGCTCGTCGCGACGCTCGGCGTCTGGGCGTGCCCCTCGTTTTCCTGCAGGCCGTTGACGAGTGCAGCGCGATTCAGGGCGATCCCGACGCGGGTCGGCGCCTCCTGAACGTCCCGAACATGCGCAAGACGGGGGACATCCACGGCGTCTTGCCGGCCCACGTCGGCACGGAGGTGCGGTTCACGGCAGCGCAGGAAGAGCTGAAGAAGAAGTTGGGGCTCGTGCAGGAGCAACGGGCCACCATCGTGTCTTTCGACTTCCACCGCGAGGACGAGCAGCGGTACGAGGAGTGCTCGGCAGGCCAACTCTTTCGCCCCCGCTTCCTACAGCAGGGAATCTGGCTGCAGGTGCACGGCTTCAAGGAGTCTCCGATCTACCAGGAGGTCGCCGAGGTGCTGCGACAGGGCGCCGAAGACGCCGACGACGACGGCCAGGCCGAGGCGCGGGCGCGGAGTTTGCTGATGTTCAGGCCCAGCGAAAAGGAGTTCACATGGCAGAGCTCGGGGCCGCGCGACGTGCGCCGCTCGGGGTTCACCCTGGCCCGCGCGCCCTACCTGACCCCCACGCTGTCGCAGGGCCAGACGCTGCGCAAGGGCGTCGCCATCGACTGCGCGAGAGACGAGGACGCTGGCCGCACGGGCATGACTGACGAGCAGTGGTGGCTGCACCTCTACGTCATGATCTCCCGCGCCACGTGTATGCGGAACATGCTGATCCTGCGGCCGCCGCCGCGGGAGTTCCTGGAGCGAGGGCCGCCAGCGTCCTTGCGGGAGGCGCTCCTGGAGTTCGACAAGAGAGCGGTTTTGTCCAGGGCGGAGGCGAAGCAGCTCGCGGCAGAGCTGGGCTTCGTGCTGCCCGCCAGAGCGCGGCTGCGCCCCGCTCGAAGCCCCCGGGGTTGTCCCAACGGCATGGTCTTGCGCGCAAGCGGCTCGCGGGGTTGCCCCGACAGCCTGGCCCGCGGGGTTGCCCCAACGGCCGCGCGACGTGGCCATTCGAGAACGCGCCTGTGCTGGCCGAGGCGGCGACGGCGCCGAGGAAAACCGACGCGCGCGCTCGTGCAATGGAAAAGCGAGGCGGCGGCGGGGCGCGAAAAAAACAAGAGGGCGAGGTCGGGTGCAAAGTAGGGGGCGGGGGGGGGGCCCGCGCCAGGGCGAAAAGAAATATACGCAGAAGAGACAGTCAGGACGCCTCACCAACCACGAGGACGACGGTGAGCGCTTTTTCCAGATTCGCCCAGAGGATTCTCATGTGGGGTCGTTCCGTCGGAGTAATTGGACCCTGACCCCGCGGATCTGCGTGGGGGGTGGCACCGGATTTCAGACATGTGGTAAATCCCATGTGTTTTTGGACCCTGACCCCGCGGATTTGCGTGAGGGGTGGCACCGAATTTCAGAAATGTGGCAAATCCCATGTGTTTTTGGATCCTGACTCCGCGGATCTCCGTGAGGGGTGGCACCCAATTTCAGAAATTTGGCAAATCCCATGTGTTTTTGGACCCTGACCCCGCGGATCTGCGTGAGGGGTATCGATTTCGAGCCCCCCCAGCAAATCAGACAACGCGCCCAGGGGGTGCTAAAAAACCGGTTTGGGCCTCCCCCCCCCCTCGCGCGGTCAATCAAATAGTTACAGTAACCAACAGTAAGCAGAATTGTAACGCTGGAAACTACAAGATACAACTGGTACAGGAAACTGCGAATCCCGCTCCTCGCAGCCTGGTGGCCCCACAAGGGGGCCGGCGGATTGTTTTTATTCTCTAGGGCTCATCGAGAAACTGGGGATCCACCGAGGGGCCGGGAAGGGGACCTTGAAGGTCTAGAGCCCTAGGCTTTAAAAGTAGCGGGTTCCTGCGGAATGCGCCCGGGCCGCGCGAAGCAGCATTCGCCAAGGTTTTTGCGCTGAAGTAGTGCTGCTCCCACCCCACCCCCTCTGGAAACCCAGAGCACAGGACGGTTCCCCCCCAGGGCCCATTTCGGTCCGATCAATCGGATTCGATAGGTATCGATTCCGGCCAGCCCGATCCGATTCGATTCTAGTACTCCGACGATCCGATGCGGACCGGCGCTAGCATGGCGCCTTTGTGCATCCCGGCGCAGCCGATCCGATTGGATTTCGATTCCGTGCCGATGCAGCCCGATCCGATGTGCATGTCGACTCCATCGGGCTTGCCGATCCGATGCTGACCGATCCTGCCCCCCCTTTCCCTTCCGGTCAATCACCCCTCACTTCTTCAGCCAGCGCGAGGGAACCCCGTGGGAAGGTGAAGTGGGACGGGGCGAGGACGACGAGGAACGACGGGGCAACGCCAAAGGGACGACGAGGACGAACGACGACGAGGGGGAGAGGGGGAACGACGGCCAAGCACCGCACGCCTTCTCGCTCCCAGCACCGTGGGGATCGCGGCGTTTCGTCGTTGCGTCTCTGCCGGCACAGTCCTTTGCGAGTGGAGCAGTGCGCGCAGCTCCTGGCCTCTCCGTGCGCTCCGAGGGAGCAGCGCTTTCGGAGGCCCAGAGGTTGACACCAGCACCAGTATCGGCGGTGTGCCTCCAGCTAGTGAAGATGATCCCGATCTCGGGGATGGTGGTAGTATCTGGGCTTTGGTGCCGAAAGCTGACCACCAGCACCAACGCCTGGGGACACCTGCCTCTGGTGGAGGCAGCCCCCTGCGTTGGAGTTGCCAATTTACAAGCCTCCAGAGTTTGCGCCGCCCATGGGTTTTGCCCGCTCTTGCGAATCAGCGCTTCTCTCTCCCCTCACCCCAGCGGTTTCCAGGCACTGCACCGTCTTCGCGGACAGCCGCTCCGCGCCATGCCCCGGCCTGGGCCGCCAGACCGGAGACCCTCGCTGGAGCCCGCCGATCCGATCCCCCCGTTCGAAGTGCGAGCACGCTACAAGTCAAAAGGTACCGATGCCGCTGCTCATCGCGGAAAGCCCTCGGCGCCACGGCGGGATCCTTTTTGAAATTCCTTAAGCTTCGCGTAACCCCACCAGTGGCTTTGTGAGCGGGCCGGCACGGCCTGTGCCTGTTGTAGCTAATTAGCCCCGTACCGTGACCCAGACGCCGCTTCCGCTCCCTGACCGTTGCCTTGGAGCCGCTGACCAAGAAAGTAACCCCACTAGCCCATTCAGAAACCCTGCCCATGAGAGCTTACAGACAAAGGGACGAACAGACACATAAAGTGAAGCAAAGCAGGCAACGAGGGTGCAGAGAGATCTCTGCAGCAACAGGGTGGCCTTGGAGGGCCTCTTCGGTTCATCCCTGGGGCCCGCGTGGGGTCGAGGTAAGTAAGAGGAGGGGAAGGAGGAAGAGGAGGAGGAAAAGGAGGAGGAGTGCGCACAGCCTGCGGAACGGGGAGTTTGTGCCTCCGCGTCCCGAAGCTGCGCTCGGTGGCTCCGAGCGCTCGCGGAAGCCATCGGGCTCGCACACGCGCGGGCGGCAGCCTCGGCCAGCCCTCGCCGCGGCCACCGCGCTGGCGGCCCCGCCCGCGGGCCTCACCCTTCGCAGCAGCCGCGTGTGCGAGCCTTGGCTAGCGGCGCCAGCCCACTGCAGCTGCGGCTTCGCTGGCCACGCCAGCGTCGGCGCGGCCCGCCCGTGGTCCGCACCACACGAAGGCCCCGCCTGCTGCCGCGCACGTGCCACTCATAACGGCGCCGTCCCGCCGCTGCCGTCCGCCTCCGCGTGCTTCGGCGCGAGCTGCGCGGGGTCACCGACGCGCTCGTGGGTGACCGGGCGCCTGCCCGCGCGCACGTGGCTGAGGCGCGTCTTTGCATTGTTGTCGCCGGGCATGGTTTGGCACCTCTCGGCCAGCAGCACCGTCGGGCCGCCAGCAGCACGTGCCCCGCGGGTACTGCAGAAGACCGCGTTCCCCGCGAGCCGTGAGCGTGTGGCTGGGGTGCGCCTCTTCCACGGCCGCAGGCTGCCCTCTGCACAGGCCGCCCTCGGAGTCCTCCCCGAGCCTGGCCCGCGCTCCGCACCCGTCGCACCCGCGTGCCACCGATGCCGAGCCGCCCAGCCGCTGGGCCGCGGTGCCCTCAGTGGGCCCCACCGCTGCCTCCGCGGGCCTCGCGCCCTCTGGCGCGCAGCGCCGGGGCCCAGCCTCGCGCGGGAGCTCGCCCGCCACGCCGCCGCCGAGGCCGCGCGGCGCCTCGAGGGTCCCGCCGTCGCGCTGGCTGGCCGCCGCCCTCCCAGCCGCCTGCCCGGCCTCGCCGGCCCTCGGCCGGCCTCGCGCCCCTCGCCCGCCCCTGCCGCCCCGTCGCCGCGGAGGCCGGCCGCGGCGAGGCGCCGCCTCGCACCTGGCGTGCCCTGGCCAGCGGGGCGTCGCCGCCGTCGGGGCCGCCCCCCGCGGCGGCTAGCCGTCGGGTCGCTCCAGGCGCTGCCGCGGCCTCCCCGCTGGCCGCTGCCCTCGCGCGAGCTCCGCGGTAGGCTCCCCGGCGGGGCCCGCGGGGCCTCGGGCGGCCGCGGGCCTGCCCCGCTGCCAGCGGCAGGGGGGGGGGTCCTGGCCCCGCGCGCGCCTGCCGCACTCCTGGGGGTCCCCCGTGCCCTGCCTCGCGCGGCGCCCCCGACGTCGACCTGCTCGCAGCCTTCCTCGGCGCCGGCTTCGCGCTGCCCTCGCGGCCGCCCCGAGCCAGGCGCTCCGGGCGGCTGCTGCCAGCGCAGCGGCCGTCACCAGTCGTGAAACCCCGTGCGCTTGCTCGGTGACACTGCGGGGGGTACTCCTCGTGGCCACGGTGCACGGCTCGGGCCCTGACGCGACCAGAGGAGGAGCGTTCGCACCGAGCAGCCGGCGCATCGTGGCCCTCCGCGCCCTGAGCTCGGCGTGATTAGGGGAACGAGGGAGGACGTGCACATAAAAACGCGGAGGTCCGCCCGGATTTCTCGGATCGGCGTTGGACCCCCCCTCCCTGGCGCGCGGAGCGCGCCAGGGGCGGCGAGAGAGGCAGCGCCAGGCGGGTCCAGCGCGGATCCGGCTCGGTGTTCGCCATCGCGCTGGCCTTGGCCACCTAGCCCGCCACCCTCTTGACGGCCTCGATCTGGGCCACGTGCCTGGCTTCGCTCAGGGGGGGTGCAGCACAGGTGGCAGGCCGCTCCTCTCTTGGCCTTGAGGTCGGCTGCCTTGTTGCCGAGCGCGAGCCTTCTCTCAGTCGTACCGCCGCCCAGTCTCGATGCCGCCGGATGTGCCTTGACCCTGCGGAACTGGATGTTGTCCTGGCCGATGTCGCAGACGAGCCTCCAGATCCTTCCCCACTGCTCGGCGTAGGCGCTGGTGGCTGCACAGCACGACGATGGGCCCATGGCGATGCCGTCGATGAGGTTCTGGTAGTCGCTGTAGAGCGTGAAGGGCGGCATCACGTGGTGCAGCACGACCTCGACCGCGAACAGCTCGCCCTCGCCGGCCTTCTGACGCCAACTGGGCCACGGCCCACGGCATGCTCCCGTACTGAACCCGATGCGGTCGATTGCGGCACATCCGAAGCCAAGGGCCTGCTCGCTCGCGTGCTTGGTCAGGCATGTGCCAGACCCGCCCACGAACCCGTCCGCCGCGAGTACTCCTCCTGGGATCTTCTTGCTCCACACGACCTGCCAGTGCCTGATGGGCCTCGGGCTCTCAGTCAGGTTGGGCAGTAGACACCTGCCCCAGAAGGTCTCTCCTGCGTTGCCGTCAGCTGGCCTGGGGGGAAGCCGGCGTGCCCGATCTCGCTCTCCCTTCTCTCACCCAGCCACGCCTCGCACTCCCCGTGGCGGTGGGCGAGCGAGCCAGGCGTCATCCTGCATTTCTGACATAGTGGGCATTCGGACAGGCCCGCCTCGAACAGCCTCTGCTGAGGCCATTGGCTCCCCACAGCGGTCGAGCGTAGCCCACCTGCCTCCCCGGCGAGCCCGTGCTCCTCGAGGCTGCGGAGCACGCAGCGCAGCGGGTCGGTGTGGATGCCGGCCTGCCATTGCTCCATGCCCTCGTGCTTGGCGACCTGCTGGGCCTGCCGGCGCTGTGCAGCTCGCTGAACCAGTGCTTGGATCGATCTCGGGCCTAGCCCCACGGACAGAGCTCGCCGAGACCGCTTGCCATCCGATCCTGTCTAGGCGTCGCCAGGGTCGCCCCTGTTGGGCCGACCACCGGGGCCCATCTGCTGTCCCTGCCCGCCCGAGCGGCGGTGGCGCTGTCGATGGCGCCCTGCGCGATGTCGATGGGGCCCTCTTGGCCCGCGCGGCCTTGGCCCATCCCGGTGAGCGGGGCTGCGATCACGGCGTGGGCGGGGTCCTGCTGGCCGCCCTCCAGCATGCAGGACAGCGTGCGGGATCGCCTCGGCTCCCGCTGCGGCCCGCAGGCGGTGGAGCTGCGAGTCGCTGCGTCCTGCCACGCTGGCCCCGTGCGCCGCGGCAGGCCGGGGAGCGCCGTCCTGCCCGCTCGTTGCCCAACGTGGGCGCCGCGCCTCCTGGGGCACTTCGCCCCGCGGAGCCCGCCCTGCTTGGTCATGTTGCCTTGGGGCACCTTCGTCCTGCGCCTCGCCCCGACCGTGCTGTCCACGCCCAGGTTGCGGTGGTGTGTTGCTGCCCTGTAGCCTCTGGCCTGCCCTCGCGCAGACCTCGTCGGCGATGCACTTGCCTGCGCGGGTGGGCCGCGCCACGACGGCTCCGCGCCGTGGATCCCGAATCCAAGCCCACGTGGGAGAAGCACCTGGTCGTGTGGCCCTGGCGCGGAGATCTTGAGCAGCCACCTCTGCGTGCCGATGCGAACGATCGTGGTGTCGTCAACGAACGCGTAGAGCTGGATGCACCGGTACCTCGTGCCGAACACCTCCATGACTCCTGAACATGAGCACCTTCAGCCATGAGGTGGCGATCCCGCATCCCGCCAAAATGCTGCAGTAGATATTGATCTGGTCTCCGAGAATGCCTCGCCGATCTTGCACCTCCGCCAGGTCGCGTAGATGTTGATGCTGACCGGCAACAGTGCTTAGTTGGCGTCGCGCTCGCGGCCCTCGTCCCCCAGTGTCTGGTGGCCGACGCGCTCGCATGCCTTCGTCATGTCTTGTTGGCTTGAAGATGTGACCAGGCCGAACTATCTGCCCCACTCTTGATAAACTGCCTGGTCCCATACAGCCTTCTCCGCCGTTCTGTCGCTTGCGTTGTGGACGCACGGCAGGTTGTGGTCGTCCTCCCACTTCTGCATCTGCTCCTTCCGCACCCTGGCCCACATGCGCAGGAAGCCGCCTGGGAGGGCAATGGGCCGCACGCCTCCCGCCTTCTTGGCGAGGAAGACGCTGGTGGACACCAGCTGCTGCGGCTGGTTGCCTACCCGCTCCATGTAGAGTAGACCATGAGCCTCGCGAGGAACCCCGGCCCTTCGTCGGAGAACATCGCGAACCGCCCCGGTTGGAACGAGTCCGAGCCCAGGGCGGCGGGGTGCTTGACGCTCCTGCCGGCTTGCCTGATGGCCGCGATCGCGGGCCCTCCCAGCTCGTGTTGCTTCGCGCCCTCCCAGCTCTTGAGCTCCAGCGGCTCGTTCACGTTCCATGCGTGCTCCAGGTCCCCGCTGCAGAGCTTGCCCGCTGTGTCCTGCACGTCTGCCGCCTCTCCGTCTGCTAACTATAGCCCCTTGGCCCGCGCCTGCTGGGCCTGTGGCCCGTGGGCGCGCGAAGCCCGCGCCGTCCGTCTTGGCCTTCCCCGCGCAGTCGTCGAATGACTTGCACCTCTGCTTCTCGAACTCGCGCGTGATTCGTCTGCCCGTGGCCTCCGCTCGGTCGGCCATCGGCTCGATGACGTCAGGTCCCGGGTCTCGTAGACGTGGCCAGTCCTGCTCGAAGTGTTGCTCCGTCTTCCTGGAGCTGCCGTTCCACGCCT